AAAAAATCAACTGGGAAGGAAAAGGTGATTCTAGCTGGTACCTGGGACCTCTTTAATGCTGGCAGTGATACAAGCCATGAATCAAAGTGGTTTGGCTATCTTCAACCAAATGAAAGCAATCTGATATGGCAGGATATGGCACTATCATGATGCTAAACCTGAGCACCCAATGGATCCCTAGGCATTATTATTGACGAGCATTCTCATAGCTTTTTGGTCGGACTGTTCCAGAAGGTAGAATGCCCCTTAACAATGAAATAAAAGACTCCTGCACAAAACTTCAAACCCTCTGAATTTAGAAAAGCAGAGGCCAGTGAGATCTCAACACAAAAAACCCTCTTTCTGAATTTTATCTTGAACTCAAGCATGGAATCAATAGATTTACTCATATCTTGCAATGGCTTACATTACATCAAAGATCATGCCCCTACACCTGATCCACAACCATCTGATCTCAAATGTAAATTGAAAGTTTCATTTATTGGGACTTACGTGTCTCAAGTTGGTGGTCATAAACCAGACACAACAGATAGCATACAAAGCTTAATTCCCAGTCTGTTTGAATCGAGTGAGATGGTTTTATAAAAAGTTTGGCCAGTAAGAGAGACATGCTATGAGTAGTGTTGTTTTGTTTATTCTCAACTCAAAATGTTGATGAGAAACCAAAAATTCTTCCTTACAGACTACTCGCTACTTCTGGAAAAGTTGAGGAAGGCCTCTCGAAACTAAACAAAACTTTCAAAACTTTGAAAACCTTCATCAAACAATTTGGCATCAGTAGCTGAATTCTTCAAGATTGATACGTGACATTTTTGAGCAAGTGAGATAAACAATTGGAATGATATGAACTACTACTTGTTATGCACATATCTAACAAAAAGAGCAATGAGTTTTGACTGAGCATATCTGGGTACTATCTACATTCATGCAGGAACGACTCCTCAGATGCGGTATAATGAGATTCTGACCGGATTTAGTATAAACACTTCCTACATCAATGATGGAAAAGTCTTAAACCAGTGTTACAGTAGACCATATTAGCCTCATCTGCTGCTTTGAAGACAGCTTCATCCATCACACTTCCACCTGGAGCAGCCACATACTTCACTCCACTTTTAGCAGCTCGTCTTACATTATCCGTAAAGGGAAAGAAAGCATCACTGGCCAATGCAACTCCATCCAATTTCTTCATCCAAGCTTTCTTCTCCTCTTTGGTCAATCGTTCCGGGATTTCGTCAAACACGGCTTCCCACTCTTGTCGTTCAGTACTCTTCGGCTCTGACTCATCTCCATCATCTTCCCAGATGGTGTCAGTGACATAAAGGTCGATAGCATTCGCCTTGTCAGCCCGTTTGGTGGTCGTCTTGAATTTCATATCTAGGACCTTGGGGTGATGTCTCAACCACCAGAGGTCAGCCTTGGTACCAGCAAGACGAGTGCAGTGAATCCTGGACTGTTGACCGGCACCTAAACCGACGATTCCACCACGAAATGCGTAGGCCACTGAGTTGGATTGTGTGTACTTGAGTGATAGAGTAGCGACGATCAAGTCGGTGATCGCAGAAGGAGGAAGCTCTGTTGCTTGAGAGACAACATTTCTGAAGAGATCGGGTGTGATTTTCACGTCGTTTCGACGCTGCTCTAGGGTGATACCATATACCTGACGACTTTCAGTCAAACCAGGTTGGAAAGTGGGATCCATCTTTAAAGAGAACATATCACAATCAGAATGCTTCACAAGATCCGCTAGCGTACTCGACTCACTGACCTGTAAAACGCAATATTTGCCTCCCTTCTTCTTTCGTAAGATCTCTAAGGCCTCTGGTTCGTATCCGGGAGCAACGACACCATCAGACACCTCTCGCGAGATAATCTTCGCGGTAGGTACGTCGCACGTGTGAGACAGAGCTAAGAAGTCGCCGAATGACGACATTCGATCAGCTCCGCGGGCTCGGGCGTAAGCCTTGGCAAGAGGCGTCATGTCACGAATTCCTTCGACACCGAAGACTCGAGTTTCAACATCGGTCAGAGGTTCAGAAGTGCCAACCGCCACACCCGCAGGTGAAACATGCTTGAAAGACGCAGCAGCAGGTAGAGGTGGATTGAATGCTTCCGAAAGCTCTCGGACCAAAGCAAACGAGTTCAATGCATCGAGAAGATTGATGTATCCGGGAGAACCGGACAACACCGAGAATGGAAGTTTTCCTTCCGCAACAAATGCCTGAGCAGGTGATTGATGGGGGTTGGCACCATATCTCAATGTGAGTTGCTGAGCCCTTTGTCGAAGTTCATTCTTGATATCTAGTGATGCGACCGGGATAGAATCGGCAGAGTTGTACTGTTTCCTGAAATAAGAGGAGATGGCAGCATCATACGCGGCGGTCATAGAGAAAGCCTATATCGCGATCATATCGGAGAAAAGGCTTGCGGTAAGCCTCAGGGTGATCAACAATACCAGTTATTCAAGCTTTAGACAGGGTAAACCACTGACCTTCACAGCCAAGGAGTTACGGAAACTTTCGCTGATACCGCCAAGACCGTTTGCAGAGCATTGCTGCAGAAAACCGGCGTAGTCGGCTGGGTCACAAAGGATAGAGACGCTGTGATGTATTTGTGAGATCAAAGGGACCCGATACTGGGCAATGAATAGAATATGGTCACACACCGTTCGTGGTTCTTCGCGGCTGCTCTCAAGAGTGTTACACCTCCGATATCAACTTCTTCGATAGCCTCGGCGATCGTGGGCGGTGGAACTCGTGAGATACATTTGGTAAATGGGTATAGGTTGCACACCACTACGCTGATGGGATTGATGGATTGCGAGGCGAGATCTGCCAAATCGCTCGGAGTACGACGTGACAAGATACCTGTGTGACAAATCCTGACTTAGCTTTCCCTTCTTGGATCAACGCATACTTCCTTCATTGGTCTAGATACTTACCACCGTGAACGACAGGGTGGAGGGTTTTGACCCGACCACCTAGCATCTCGGGCGCCCCTGTGATCTCTGACACATCGCTGATGGATTATTTTACAACCATAATCAGGAAAGACAAGCCATGGAGCCTGTGCACGAGAGCTCAAACCTGATTGGTAAACCACTATCCCGAACGACCTTGGCTGTTCCTCCACTTCCAACCAGCTTGACGCCAAATGCATGTAATCCCTTGGCGATGTCTAGTAGGCCTTCTTTATTCGAGACCGATAGTAAGGCTGGATGTATGCGTTTGTGGCCCAAGTGCAATCCCGATGAAAGTCAGTATTAAGTTGGAGCCCGGAGACTTGATTGAAGGGGAAAGAAAGGAGATATACCAATGGGTTTATCACCGTTGGATGGAGTGCTCATCGTTGATATTGAAAAATTTGATGATCGTGAAAAAAAGTGTGAATGTGCTTTGACTGGTGCGGAGCAATGCGTTTTGGGCGGAGCTCGGTAAAATATAAATGGGTGGCTCTAGGACTTAGGCGATACGTTACAAAACCCCCTAACGCCAAATAGAAGGCAACTGGAGCGCATACAGCCACGTCGGAAACTCTATATAAGGCTTAAATCGTCCGGTAGCATCTCTGTTTCGGAGTGTGGGCTTAAGGAATTTCTTACAAAGTCCTTCCGTCGCTTGAAAGATGCCTAAGCTAGATACCCTATTGCGTCAACTTATCAAAGCTTTTCAAAGTGTCTTGAAGCAACCAAACTTGGGACAAGCACAAATCACATAGTCTCAAAGAAGCGCCTGAAAGGATTTCTTTACCTTCATCGATCGACATCTAAATGGAAAAGGAACAGCTCGAAGAAGTGGGTCTCTGTTTCTTGGAACCTGTGGCCGGGGTCGCGCTTTTTGTATCTTGGAATCGCGAGAATCTCAAATGAGAAGGCCTCAAAGCTCCGGAAAAGGTCTGACGCTAACCTTTTTCGATTCTCCAACCGGTCAAGCTCGTAGGGTTTTTGCACGACCGAAATCCGGAAGTGAGGCGATTGGCGGTCAATGCGCTTTTGCCATATACTCCGGCGTCCAATCCCAAACGGACAACAATCTTTGCATCTAAAGATTCGAACCGGAAGGCTGGACAGCTTGATCAGAATATCATCAATGACTTGAAGAACTTGTGTGAAGATCAGCATGTGTGTGTCTAGTTCACGATCCTAAGCCTTGAAAATCAAAAGCTAACTTCTTGGCCTTTTCTCAAGTTAACCGCACATGACGCCCTATCCGCTCTGATAAATCTAACTGACGCAGATGTAGTCAGCGAACAAGTGGCCGATACGGATTTCTTGATTTTCTTGCTCAGCACCATTGTGGTAAGTAACTACGGTTCTATAATCTATCGAGCTTTAGCCAAAAGGTTTTCAAACTGAATCGAGATGAACTTGTGACAGGACCCTTCAGCTATCTTGGCTGATCTTGCGTGCATGCTATGGTCCAATTTGACCAAACTGAACTCAGTTTGTGTCAGTTGTCTGAAATTACCTTTGGTCGGGCACAGTAGCATTGCGGAGGAGGAATCAATTCAAAAAAAACTGAAGACCAGCTCAACCCCAATGATGGATCTTACGATTGAATTGTTTGCGAGAGGAGAAAGTAGAAAGATTAACAAGCACGCCAATTACGATTTTTTGGCAAGCGTATGGGCAAACTTTTCATCCGTGAGATCACATTTATTTCGGTTCACTTTCGTGACAATGGTCCTGATGATTGTTCTTGATATAGTACCCGGATGGAAGATCTTATCTTCTGGGTATAAGTCCGTATGTTAAACCGCCATCAGATGCACCGCTTGCACAAATATCTCCCTTCACAGAACACCCTAGCATAATTCGAAGAGGAGGGTCAATCAGTGCAATAAAGTAAGTGATGCAAATACACGATAGGGCCTGTCAAATACAGAAAACTTACGCCAAACTCTTAGGAATTGTTGTTTTTCTACCGATGCACATCGTCGCATAATCTCTGAGAAACCAGATGGGCTTGAAATCCTTGCGTCCATCCTGCTTCCTCTCTGTGGCCCAGAGCCCTTTGATGCTGATGATGAGGAGCACATGCCAGCCGAAATTCAGATGTTGGGATCCGATAAAAAGTCTGAAACTGACCTTGCACTTCGCCACATCTTGATCGAAACCCTTATCTTGCTGTCGACGTCCGCTGGAATTCGACAATACCTTCGAGATAAGCGAGTGTATCGAGTGGTTCAGGTATTACATCTAAATGAAACAGAAGAAGAGGTATGTTGACTTTTCTCAAATAATGTGGTTTGTCATTCCACGTGTCTCTGGTTGATACTCATAGATGGTGTTTGTTGTATCGTAGGTACAAGAACAAATTGAGAGATTAGTGAATATTCTGATGCGAGATGAACCCGTCACTGTAGCAGAGACCGCCGAATGTGAAGAACTTCAGCTGGTGGAAGTATGAAGGCGACCAAAAATATTGACTTCATGCCTAGTTGAATTAAAATATTGCAATGAATGAAGTTTCAGCAATGATGGCGTCACATATTTGAAGTGATCAACGAGAGTTTCGGTACGGCGTACCCCTTTGCTTTAGCCGATGAACGTGTGCCTAGTCAAAACACGCCACGCAAAGATACCACTCCAGAGAACATGTAATCAAATAACGATGGTTTCGAGCTCTTTTACAACGGAAATATGTGCCACCTTTAGATCTCCTAACCTCATCCCCCTCATCCCCCTCCTTTAGCTGATTTAGGAAGTTTCGGACAATAGAATTCCAGTCTCAATGTGCACAGGCCATGCTTTTGTATCAGCAATCATATCGACTCATGGGTTGGCAGCTTCTTCATCACACCAGTTTCCCTTTTTTTCAACAGACTGCTACCCCCAGAGAATCCATCCATGTAAATCCCTCAGAGCTTTCTGAAAGTCGACTCATCAACACTTCGTGGTAGCAGCATAGAGGGTCTAGATTGAATGTACCCACTTAACTTTGAGAAGAAAACTCTCCGGGTTCAAGAAAAGTTTTCACATGTTGGCCTTACATCATCTTTTTCTGTAGTTCAGGAGTACTGAGGCTCCTTCACTAGCGGACACCCACGATATCAAATCTGGCTCTGCTGGCCCCTAGTGATGAATTGTGCTTTTCAATCCTCTCTCACTTGCTCCAGAACTAGAAGATTGGTGGATAACACCTCCATACTTGAAGACACGGTACCGTAATCTCAGGCCAAAAAAGCTCAAATTATGAGCAAACACTCAAAGCCAGGGCGATGGATGACCAATCCTCTGCGTAAGGCTTTATATCAAAGTTTGAAATATTTGATCAAATGAGAAACTTTTTTGTAATTCAGAATCAAGAATCTTGAAAACAAATACCTTCAAACATCTCTTATCCTCTAACCTGTCATACGATGCACTGGGAGCGTTCCAAGTTGGATCTGTTCGCCTGGCTGGTAATACTACTCGGCACGAGCTGGATCCTGTATTCGTCAAGGACGAGTGAGAATTTTAAAATATGAAAATGTTAGACTCCTGAATTGAAGAGAAGCTTACACCTTTACAGACACACGAGTCCGACCGTTTCGGCGTTTCTCTTCGACTCAAGCTTATCCTTATCGAGTTGCCACTGGACTCGCCGACATCACAGGGCCATGCGTAGAAATTGAGCTCGTAAGTTTAGGATTCTTGGCTTTTTGTATAAGAACTCATCAATTTTCAATGCCTTCAATCAGATGGGTTATGCCAATGAGGGCCAGATTGGTACTGGCCTACATATGCGTCTCCGCTCGAGGGTTTTTATTGTGGCCGATGAGTTTGACCATAATCGCTGGGTTTTGATTAACTCTGTCAGATTTTCGTGCTGTATTGAATAATTTGCTATGTGTGATTTGATTGACTTGACATCTTTTGAAAATATCAGGATATTGGAATGGGTATGTCCTTTTGGATCGATTTGATCTCATCTCCTAACACACAATGCCCAATTCTTTGCCATCACCTCGTAGGGGACACTGCGATCCGACGAGGAGTGATTGAGCAACTTCAAATCAAGTATCCTGGAATATATTCTGATGAGAATGTAGCCTGTGAGTCAAGAATCAAATGTGATAGAGAGTCAAACATACTTTGAAACTAATGCATAACGATGTGCATCTGGCAACAAATATTCAGTGGTAGGCACTCATAGCCATTCAGGTCCGGCAGGATTTATTCAAACCCTTCTGCCTCAAATCACAAGTAAAGGATTTGTTTCACAAAATTACGAGGCAATCGTAAACGGAACAGTGCTTGCTATCAAACGAGCCCATGAATCATTAGCACCAGGGAAACTTTCGATTGGAAACATGTCTTTGCTCAACACCAACATTAATCGCAGCCCATATTCTTACCAGTTCAACCCAGAAGATGAGAGGAAACGGTATGAACACGATGTTGATAAAGTAAATGAATCGTTTATCACTCCTATTATATCTAAAAACTAGGTCTTGAATTGATCCCATTTACTCGCGCGGCACTCTATCTCAAAGGACTTTCATCTCGTCAAGTTTGAGGATGGGTTGAGTGGGAAAGCGCGTGGATTCATGTCATGGTTTGCCGTTCATGGAACTTCTGTGTTCAGAAGTGAGTACATCTCCTTTTTCGGGTGTCTTATACAGCGTAGCAGACCTTAACAACAACACTAACTCGGTGATTTGGTTCCAGATAACAGTTGAGTATGATTAATCTTATCAGTTGTGATTTACCGTGGCCTAATCTTACTCTGAAACAACCATTTTCTAGCATTGATTGGAAGCGATAACAAAGGTCAGTTGCTGCCAGTTTAGCAATCCGGTTTCTATCTGCCTCATCTCATCACAGCATATGAGTATCCCAGCCGTTGACCCCTGGACTTAATTAATGGAAATCCTTTAGGGATGGCTGCATATCTATACGAATCCTCTGTGGAACCGGACAAAATGCCAGGAAACAACACTTTCGTTGCAGGGTTGATCTCCTAAATTAATCACCATATGAGATCGTGACAACTGAAATCACAAGTAGATTCTTTCAAGCAAATGTAGGAGATACAACTCCCAATACCCTTGGGGCATATTGCGAGAGCGGCCCCGATGAAGGAAAGTTATGTAGCTTCGAAAAAAGTTTATGCGGAGGAAAAACAGAACCTTGTCAAGGACGGTGAGCGTTCTTTTGTACATGCGGAATCCATAAGATCCGTCTTTGAACCATAGTTTGTCAAAAACATATCATGTTGACTATGACTACCTCGCTTCATTTTTCGGGCCTAATTTGCGAAGTGGACCTGGCTTTCCTGGTGACTCTTGGGAAAGTAATAAAATCATCGGGAAAAGTGAGTATCATTTTTGAAGTTGTCTCTTGAATTATAAAAACAATGTGATGGGTATACTTTATATAACTGACAATGTCTTTTGAGATATCAGATCAGAAAGAAGCCGCGGATCAGTTGATGAATTCAGATCTCAAAGCCTTGGCAGGAAGTGTCAAAGCGGTCTACACAACGATAGACATGTGGGTGTAGTAGCGCTTCCCGGATGTGGAATTCCCTCACAGCAGACAAAGAGTTGATGCCAAAGCGTTGAAGAAGGATATTAACAAAAGAATGACTTATCTGCTCAGGTCTCGATACACCTTTCGTCACCCGAATGGTACTATACTCCATACTTGCCCGCCGGCATTAGGGTAAGCTAGAGCCTCTATCTTCATATACAAGAGCTGTTTTCTGATTCCGTGTAAGATAGATTTGGATTTGCGGGTGGAACCACCGACGGAGCCGGCCCCTTTGACTTTTATCAGGGCAATAACCATTCGAAAGGTAGTCAAAATCCCCTCTGGAATGCTGTAGGGAGTTTTGTGGGAGGCATTCCTAGCGCTGCGCAGAAAGAATGTCATTTCCCGAAACCAATTGTGGGTCCATTATACATAAGCGAGGTCTTATATTTGATATTACTGATCCGTTCATCCAAAATTTTATAATCATCTCATTTTTTAACTGAAAGTTGCTTAATACGGGACATGCCTCACTTCCGTATGAGTGGTCACCCAATGTTGTGGACATCCAAATATTCAAAGTCGGTTATCTGGTGATACTCATTGTTCCCGGCGAATTCACAACCATGGCAGGAAGGAGAATAAGGTCGACATTTTTTCATCTCGGAAGAATTTCCTATGTCCATTGACTGTTGCCTTTCTCAATATTCAGAGAAGCTGTGCGAGCTCAACTGATCTCAGATGGAATCCTAGGCGAAGAAGCCACGGTGATCTTGACTGGTCCTGCTAATACTTACACGCATTATGTCTCGACAAGAGAAGAATATGGGTATGAAGAATTTTTGGCATTTCTTCTTGCCTAGGCCATATATCATATCGCATAGACGATGGATATTTAGCTAATGAGCGCGCACGTTCGTGACAAGCAGAGTTCAGAGATATGAAGGTGCATCAACAATATATGGTCCGAATACCTTGGATGCCTACATCGATATATACAAAGGGTTGGTTGGTTTCCTCTCTGATTCGAATCACACAAGCGTTCCGAAAGGTCCCGGAACACCGGACTTGAGATCCAAGGCTCTATCATTTGTGGTCAGCTTCTATTCTTGTGGTGATTTTAAAAGGTGTCCTGCTTTCTGCTAGTAATCCACCTTTGACTGAAGCAATCGAACTCCTTTTCAACCATAGGCAGGAGTAGTATTCGATGGGGTACCTATGGGAAAGTCTTTTGGTCAGGTCTTGAAGGATGTTGGTACAAATAAAGTTTACCATCCTAATGACGTCGTGGTAGTCGAGTTCCAAGCTAGTAATCCTAGAGTGCGTTGACTGAACAAGCCTGGTTCCAACCTGTTCATACTATTTATTACAGACGAGATAGGAGCTAATCTTGCATATTGGTCGACCGAACAGAATAATCTGCTATTGGAGGATAGTTACTTCAGGATACAACGTCTTTCCGAAAAGAAGGATTGGATTGACTATAGAACTGATTCTCACCCTTCAACGCGTTTTGAGTGGAAGAGAGAACATGTGTTGTTAGGTACATCAACTGTCAAAGTGAGTACATAAAATTCGATAAATCAGACTCGTCACAAATGATTAGTTTGGAACTCATTCATTGAATCACATTCCTCGATAAGATCACATGGTAAGTTTCGATTTTTGATTTCTCTCTTTCCCCAGATTTCAAAGCATGCCTGCTTATCAAGTATCTTTACTATTCTTACAGGAACATTGAAAATGACGCGAAAGCAGGTGCATACCAGATTATATACTATGGCCATTCGAAATCAATCCTTGGAACAAAAACAGCATTTCGGGGTAAATCATCTGTATTCACGGTGGACGGAAAATAGTAGTATAAATCCTAACTTTCTACTTATTCAGATGAGTTCGTTTGTTTTCAAGATTGAATGATTCAAAAGGAAGACCACAAACCTTTTGGTGGATTGGTGCTGAACGTCGAGGTGAAAATAAGACAGAGTAAAGATGTAGATATCTTGATTATTCGGATATCTTATAATCAATTTGTAAAGTGTCAATTTGCTTTTGAAAATCTTCAATTATGTGGTGTGGTGAGTAGAAAAATGTGGAATCAGTTAGAGTCTGTTCCCTTGATTTGACGACTTTTGCAAGAAAAGAAAAATCATTCCCGATGATGCGAGGACCACTTTTATCGCCTCTTTGGGATTGGGACGCGTGTATGAACCGGTTTCTATTAGTTTACGTTGAGTGTTCATGATTGAACTGCCGAGCTTCTGAATGTGCTAGTATCCGTCCCAGCCCACTCCTTGCATCAGTAAACGTTGAACTTTGCGCTTCATGTCTGCTAAATCCACATTTGTACCATTACTGGGGTGACCATGTCTTCAATGGCAATCAGGAATTGGAGGGATGGCCTAGGGCACCCAGGGTCGTGTATCAGTTTGGGAATTGTAGAACTTGATAGAATGATGACAATCAGAAACAATGTAAAAGAGAAGACTCGAGAGGATAGAAACTGAGTAATTGGCCTTCGAGATAATCAAACCTGGGGGGACAGAAGAAATATTCTTCCTAGCATCTATCTTTCCAAGCATCATCCCCTTTTACGTGGATTAGTCGATGACGAGATGTGATCTGAGATGCACGAGTGGCGAATAAATCATACGGGGATTCTTGTACTCACTCTGAACAGAATTCAAGTTGTTGATATGTGATCTCAACAGATGGCGCACAAAAGAGTGAAGAAGTAGAACATCTCATTTTCTTTCAACTAACAATCTAAAGAAAAACTCCAGCAATCTAAGTATCTAGAGAAGAGGGAACCATTGATATTTGAACAACAACAATCCATCAGAGTCTATAAAGAGTATTATAGGTAGATTGTACCACTTCTTTTATCTAGACCCTCAAGTTAAGTGGTCCACCAGCGTGTGGAAATCTTATTTCTCAAGAAGGTTCCAGAATTCCTGGAAAGAAAATTAGCAACGAGGCAAGTGTATACTAGAAGAAATAATAACTCTTGTACTCCATCATATAACGCGGAAAGCGTAACTTAAGCTCACAACATCCTATTAAAAATAGTTTCTCAAATCAGGCTAACGGGGGGAATCTTTTTTGTTTCAAAGATATGACATTTCCAAGCAATTTTTATTAAGCAGCATTCTAGTTATGATAATAAAAATAAATAGTTGAGGTATATATACTAAGAGAATAAGATCACTACTATCACTCCAGTTTGTTAAAAATAATTTTGATTAAGCAGCATTCTAGTTATGACGATATAAATAAATAGTTAAGATATATATACTAAGAGAATAAGATCACTACTATCACTCCAATTTGTTAAAAGCAATTTTGATTAAGTAGCATTCTAGTTATGATGATAAAAATAAATAGTTAAGATATATATACTAAGAGAATAAGATCACTACTATCACTCTAATTTGTTAAACAACCCGAGATTGATTTTAAATAAGAAACAGATAAAATGATATATCAAAATTTTCTACTGAATAGCGTAAGGAACTCGACGACATTTTGGGCATGAGAAATTAGGCGTATGTCCAGCATATTCAGTCAAACAGGTTTCATGAATCCAATGCTCAGGCCAACAAGGTAATTGAATATAACGCTCTCCTACTTCAAAATTTTCTGCACAGATAGGACATTCATCGTGTTCTTCTTGAGATGGGTCGGAAGGTTCTTCAACAATACGAGATGATTCGGTCATAAGACGTAGAAAAGCATAAAGCATGTACCAGTTTCGAGATCCGGGAGCAGGAAAATGTTGAACAAGAGAACCGTTGAGGTGAAATCGGTGAGAAATCGCGGCGATGTGACTGATAGTAATATTTCTGGCTTGCATAGCACGTTCACCATGTTCAATATCAGATAAACTCCAGTTTTCGAGAACCTCAAGATAATTCAAATAATGATCCACTCTCCACATGTCGCACATAAGAGAAGGTAAGAGTCGTCGGGTTGGATGTCCAGCGTTTTGGGGTTCTTGCTCGTCGAGTACGCTTTGAATTGATCTGATTTTTTCTAAGAGTTCCTCGTAAGTCATGATAGTTATGTGTTCAGCCATATCAACTAGTGATTAAATTTTGGAGATGTAAGATTAAAAGTTGAAAGTGGGATGTAAAAAGTGAGATATGAAAGTTTTGAATGTGTTGATGAGATCAAGTTGATTTGTCGTGGTATGATTGGTGGTGATTGTTGATGTTGAGAGATGTTGTGGGTTATTCTCAAAGAGATTCGTTCCACAGGTTTTATATTTGGAGAACTGCTGATCCCTGCTCAGCATTCAGCACTCGGTAAAAGCCTCAGATGCTGATCTGTAGCTTTCTATAATGTCGTCCTTTCATAATTAATGCGTCCCTGTATGCGCTGAGGATTGTCATACATTACAGTTGCTTTCGAGTTCATTTACAATGTATGAGCTCAATCGTTGACATGTTTGTGAAAAATGAAGGCTTTATAATTTTCAGCATCCAGCACTGGTAGAGCAACCCCGCTGCCAATCGTTTGATTCTGCTTATCACTTTGTATGGACTCAGCGGTCGGCATTTTCTGAATAAACGAAATGCGTGAGGTTGCTGCTTCATAAAATTCATTTTCGCGGCTTTTGCATTTCAACTGAGGCTGAACTCTGTCCGGAATTTAGTGGTCGGACAGAGACTTGGGTGCCAATACCACCCTCGTCCAAGACCGTGGTCAACTGCTTCGCATTGTAAAAGCTGGGCGTTTAGCAATTTCTCGCAGTTCTAAAACATTTTTAGCCGGATGGCTTCTCTTGATATCTTTAATCAAGTATGCCCGGAATTTTTGGAAGCTGTATTGTAAACGATGAATTTGAAGACTGCTTCAAGAGACCATCCATTATTTCCGCTAATCAATGTTTTTTGACACTGATAGTGACTCCGAAAATGGGATCATAACACGGGGTACACAACAGTGGTGTTGCAATTTCCGGGGTATCAATCTTGGCAATAAGACTAGAGTCTTTTACGACCCAGACCTGTGCTGATGTATCAAAACAGCGACTTCACATGGATGATGATGAAATAAGTAGCGGCAGAAGGATAAGTTTAAAGCCAGCGGAACCCACTTCAGCATCTAGCACTTGAACAAAGACTCAGGTAGCAATCTCACCCCGAGTTAAATCCGATATTCATCTATAATATTGCTTTGTACGTCCTGACGATTGTTTCTCATTACAAACGATGTCTAGTTCTTTTGCATTGTGAAAGCCAAAGAGTCGAGAATTCTTGGAGATTGTAACACACGTCTAGCTACACGACTAATCATCACATAGTCCAAAAACTGATGTCAATGATTTCGGACAATGCCTTCGAGAAACAGTGCAGTATTCTCGCTACCGAATATCTATCCATGGTACCTAGTTAACTCAGGAAATGAATTCATGATGGAATATAAGATGATGATGTCCAATCACTAAAACATCACGGACAATCAATTAGTATTAAGGAAAGCCCTTTTATCTCACTAGAGACCACGAAACGGTGAATCCTTCTGGATTTTATGGAGAGACAGGCACATCATAGAAGTAGGCAGTGCATGGAGTTGTGCGTGAAATTTGCGCCACAAAAAGCGTTCACTTAAGAAGGTTTCTTCCAAATCGGAAGGCTGCGATAGAGCTATAAACTCGTTCTCATCAAATCAGCTCCCCTCGTTCCCGACGCACATATGCCACCAGCGGGGAGTGCCAAGCACATATCGTTGAAACTTAAAAGCTCGCATGGTTCAATAAGCAGTATGTTCAATAGGTCCGTATGACATTGGTTGCAGGACACCCTCAAGCGTCAAATGCTTGAAGAACTTTGCGCTCGCGAGATGACTCGCTTTCATCTTCCTCTTCACGATGATGGCAAAGAGGGAACAAAACACCACTTGGATCAAGGATCACGTTTTTCAGTGCGTGCATATATACACGGCACTCGTTACTGGCTGAGCAAAGAGACCCAATGCGAGGTTCGAAAAGTTTTAAATATCTAGCTCATGAAAATTCGTGACATGGGTCATCTTGATCCTATCCGATATGAGTGATACCAATAGTTGTGGATTTCGACAACTCGAATCCTTGTGAGAGAATTAGCTTTCCTGCCAGGTTCGATGGTAGTTTTCATGAAGAGCATCTTTTGAGAAATTCGATCAATTCGCGGTCATGGAATTTCAACTTCAAGGTATGTAAGTCGGATGGTTTGTTTTCTGGAAAGCTTTTACTTTTTAACCCGTGTGCAAATGAATCAGTCATGACCCGATTTTGGCGGTCAGATTCAAGTTGCACCCCGAGCTCAGCACATGACGGCAACTGTGACCTTCGACACCAATCATCAACCAATCCTCCCACTCAATCAAACAAACCATCCTACATAATCACTTCAATTTTCAAAATATCGACAAATTCAAAATCATATCATGGCATCATCTCAAAAACCTACCTGTGTTACAACTTGCACAGCTGACTTTTGTTTAATCCCTGTAAGTTCAAATCATACTTTTCCATTAATTGATTTGATTTACTCATTGATTTAGTATGATTATAGATCGGTGGCGAAGATGGATCGAGTGTGGGTAAATACATTGCAGAGTGTCAGAGGTTAGCTTTCTTTTGCTCATAGAGGATCGATCTTGTGGGCCGAGAGATGCGAAAGACTAAGAGGAGGACTTGAAGCTTCATGATGTTTGGATTGACTATTAACTGACCATGAATGGGTTTCAACCTCACCTCGTTTCTTTTCGTATACGAATAGAGTCTTGGCTGGTACAGGCTTGACTTACAAAGTCAGTTCGTCTTTATCATACTAGATTACTAAACATTTCAACCAACAAACTGATCTTATACTCTTACCTTGTTTTCGCGTAAATAGATGCAGTTGAGCATCATTAGATTTCGTAAATCTGATGATCTGATTTAATAAACTCGACTAACTCGAATCCTTAGTGGATACGGTACTGGACTTGAAGGTAGTTGGGACGAAGTGATGGCAGCGATCAAAGCTTGTCATGAAGCTGGTCAGTTTAGCTATCATGTTCAATGAGATTATCGAAGGTTTCGAATTTAACATTTCTTCTGATTGATCAGTCCATCAGATGGGTTGTCCTCGGGTTGCTACTGGTCTGTTTTTTTCTCGATTCTATACAATATTCGAATCCAGTTGATGAACTACCAACTATGTTTAGATATCAGGATTGGAACACGTTTGGATAAGCCTAGTACCTTAGAAGCCAAAGTTCAAAGTGTAGAGGAACACCTTAAGAACCAAACCTCATGAAAGAAAACAACGGCCACACCGTCCGATAATAAACCTTCAGAAGGGGGCAAGAACAAAAATTTAAACGAAAGTCTTGGTTTAGTATGTAGTTGTGTATGATTAATTACAAGAGAGAAATATATTTCTTTGAAAAGATTTCAAACTACACAGATAGGATAACATTTCATGAATTAGATGCATTGACAGTTTGCCTCATGGTAATCCGTATGAGCAGAAAGAATACATCAGATAGGGAAGTAATCATTTCAGCATATATTTAGGGAGAGGATTAGATTCTGAAGGATGAATCAAATTCAATTCTTCAATCAAATAACTTTGATTCAAGATGGTTTGATCCATAAGCCGTATGCTAAGATCTCCTCCTGATACCAATTATTTAATTTTTCTATCTGAGGTATTCTTTTTGCTCATGATATCAAGAGATATTTTGATATATCAAGGATCAAAGAAAGCAAACCACAAAACACATTCAAAAGCTAATAATGCTTTGGGAATCTCCACTTGATGTTTGTGTATCTAATGTGATTTGTGTTTGTTCTGTGAGATTTTGTTATAAAGGCTTTTCTTCGAGATTTCTGTAATATGATATGTATTTAATTCCATAAGAGAAAAAATAGATATCAAAAAGAAAATGAGATTTTAAGTATATATATATACAAAAAGATCGAAACTCAAAAGAAGAAAAAACTACAAATCTTGAGTAAAAAAAGAGAGAGAAAAAGATGACGAAAAGATGATAATGAATGATTGAATGTTCCGAAAATCTCGAGAAAAAAAAAGGAGTGAATAATGATGATGAGGAATGTAGATTAAAAAAAAAGTTGGAATAATCAAACAAGATATATTTAAATAGATCATCATGATAATAGAAAAAAAAATGAATGAAAAGAAAAGAATTAAAGGAGAAAAGAAAAGGTGCTAAATGAAAATCCTTGGATGCAAAACAAAAACAAAAAACACACAAAAACACAAAAACAATCAATTATCAAATTACAAATAACAACACAGACAGACAGACAGAAAAAGAAACCTTTAAAATTAAGATTATCATCTGATTCCAAAAGAAAGAAAATAAATCCAATTCATCTGATTTTCAAAAAAACCGTTCTTTTTCACCTTTTGTGATTTTTTTCCTTTTTCTTTCAACCTTTACTTCTTTCTCTAATCATAGCACCTTTTAATTTAGCATTTAAATATTCTAATCTATCACCATATTTAACTTCAACCGCTTTTCTTTTCCTTTTAATTTCTTCCAACTCTTTTTCCAATTCATGATTTTCATTAGATTCAGTTGTTGAACCAGCAGATTCAACAATGGTTTCAAAATCAGATGAAATAACTGGTGATTTGACAATTGTATTACCTCTTTGTCTTCTGTTTTTAGGTCCGTTTCTTAACGATGCTGCACTTGGTAAGGGTGCTAAGAATGAAGTGGGTCTGTCTCGGGTCACAGGTTCTCCTTTTTCTAATGTTCGTTCTGTTCCTCCCCATCGTGCGATGGCTGCTCGTTCCATTTCATCAAACGTTTCTAGTACTCTTCCTCTTTCATATTCTAAATCTGAAATCTCTCGACGCATTACTGTGGCACTAGTATGATCTTGATCAGTAGTAGCAACAACTGTAGTAGTCACTGTTGTACCGGTTAACATCCGACTTGTTTTTGAATAAGATGAAGAAGTACGAGTTGAAGTTTTGGGACGTGTGACAGTTGATCTAGAAGTTTCAGAGGGAGCACTAGAACTTGCCAAAGATTGAGAACCAGCAGTAGATGGTTGACTTCCACTCCATGAAGCTGGATGCGTTAAACCAGAAGCTTGACGATGTAATTCAGGTCGATGATGTAAAGCTCTGGTAAGAAGTGGCGGTGCATCGATAGGTAACGTAGGTGAGTTTGATTCAACATCTGATTCTTCCAATGGCTGATCTTCATCATCTAGAGGGGTTTTACTACGTCTCCATCGAGGCTGTCGCTTGAAAAGTGATTGGATAAATGAAGTGGTTGAATTGGTTGAACGAAGAGATCTTCTAATACTAGAAGCATCTTTAGTAGGTGAAAGGGGTGTAGGAATTAAACCCGAATAGGTAGATTGAGGTGAGGGATGATCTGTAAAGAGGAGATAACATGATGAAATTAATTCAAGTCAAGTAGAAAAGATATAGAAGAATGAAAACCAAAAACTCACGTGAATGAGGTTGATGATTGATTAAATTTGGATTTGTAAAAGGAAAGTTTTCAACTTGCTCTGGTCCAATATCAATCACAGAAGGTTCATGATTGTTAGCTGTCATCTTATCAAACAAACCTTGTCTTAAGATCCTATATTCTTCATCATCTAAAAGCCCATCTTGATTAGCAGTTGCAAGCTCTTGTAATCGGATCGCAAGTGATTGGGTAGCTACTTCGATATCATGTATTTGATTTGTACGAGATTGAAGATGATGATTCAATAAAGTTGAGTGATGTGGGTTTGAGAAATTAGGTGAATTGGTCATTTTACTTGATGAAGCTGAAAAGGATCGAATTGAATTGGATATTTGATTTGAATCATGATGATGATTAGATTGAACTTCAGGAGTATGATTTAGAATCGTAATCGTCTCATTATGGTGTTGTAAATTCTTTTGATTAAGTGAATTCAACTTTGGAGAATGAGTATAAAGTTGACCAAACTCTTCTTCTTCATGTTGATTATTAGGATGACTATTTGCAGTTCTTGGTCTATTTGTTGTTGTGCGTGATGAATTAGGATTTGAACGTTGGTTTTTTTTATTCGACTTTAAAAAAGTTAGGTTTGAATTTGGATTAGATTGACGTAAATTGGTCGAAGGAATCCGACGTAATAAAGAAGGTGAATCAGCTACAGCTATTGAAGATGGAGTTGGAATATAGTTTGAAGTAGTTTGATGTGATGAGATCTGATTAGTTGAAGGTTTAGGTCTGATTGAATTATACCATCCTTGTTCCTTAATTTTCCTTGCTACTGAAGAAGGTGGTGGTGGTGTTTGAATAGGTTCTTCATTGATATGGTGATGATTAGTTTGGTATGATGATGATGATGATGAAGTTGGATTTGAAGTTGGATTCTTTTTGATAACTGGTGCGAACCAAGGCATTGGATGTTGAGATGGTGTGTCGATGAAAAGTTGAACGAAAGTGTAGTTAAAGTTAAACAGAATTAAAGTGAATGTCAACAGATTCAAATCGTAAAAAAATAAAGAAAGGAGCCAAAGCAGGAATCAACAGAATGTAAGTACATATCAACTAAGAATTAATTCAAATCAACTTATCTAAATGAATTCATTATCCATTCATTCATTCTAGAATTTCATCAAACCACCGATCATCACTTCAACCGCTTAAACTTTTCTACTTCAACGGGAAGAGTCTTTGGCACTTGGGTCTTGGGTAAGACTGTGAGTTTTGTTAAACACTGCTAAATTACGCAGAGCGGCCTCGGAGGGTCTGACTCGAAATTGCAACAACTGAAAGCCCAATGGGGTGGTCAGTATACAATATAAAAGTACTCCTATAGTGAGAATGGGAGAGATGGCGGGTACAATGATTTGATTTGATGTTTTAAACTTGTTGAGAATGGTTAAGAAGAGAACCACTGAAAACCGTTGATAACCAAATATGGATGAACAAATCAAATGACAGAGAAGAATTACAACACCACTCGGTCTTTATCAAAAAGGTAAAGAGCGATCCGCTGTGCTAAAAACCATGAGTTAGTAAGATCTTCTCCAAGGTTGGCGTGAGGGTGACGTGACTTTATCAAAACTCACGTCGTCTTTCAAACGTTGGAGCCACTCCGCTTGCTCCCGATTCCTGTAAGTTCAAACGAGGTGGAAGAAAGGTGTATAGATAAAACCTAGTTGTCAACCCACATTTCGGCCCTAAAAGCTTTTCATATAAATACTCTGAACAATTTCCACTCTCCCCTTTTTCTCTCAAGACCAAAGTTAGTTTCGAAACTTCCCTCTAACCTTCTCCTCCTTCAAATATGAATCATCATCGATCATCTTACTGACTTTACCTCTTGCTTTCCTTTTACTTCTTTAGCTCTTCAGGATCTATTTACAGTAGATACCCGTTTGTTTGTCTCACTAGCTCAACTGAGCCACAGTGTTTACAAGTGTTGATGATTTAAAACAAGCTGTATCTCAAAAGCGAGAACCTTTCTTGATTTTCAATCAAGCTCGATGACCTTTAAGGCTTCTCTTCACCTTACTGCAATCTTTTTTGCATGTTTGTCCGGCGTGGTTCTTCCTTACTTTTGGTTCGGATGATTTTGCGTTGTGAAGTTGGCCGGAGATGCGCTTGATTCTGAACTTGTACCACTTCATTTCTTTTTTTGATTGCATCTGTTGTATTGCCTCTGTTGTTTTCATTCTCTTATTTGTAATGCAAATGTTCCTTCAAAACTGCTCCTACAGCCGTTCCTACACTGGTTTATTTACTTTTTTGAGATTTCTTTCCCACACAGAACCTTTTCACAAAGTGAAGCAATATCAAGAGAGATGCTCCTCGAATGATGATCACGTGTCCTTGTGACCATTTATCTGTGGGTCTTTTGCAATACAAGTGCTGGATTCTTATGGTTGTTGTTGGCCAGTGGCAAGAACATCCTTTTCTCCTTATTCACAGTTTTCAAAAAGCTGGCCATCTGACATAGCCACTTCTTGGCCAACAAGCCCATCAGGTGTGTTTGCATTGGCTCTAGAGACAACTGGCAAAATCAGGCACAATCAAGTACACTCATTGTATGTGCTGAGCTGATGAACTTTTGGCAAAGTTGTGATCAATCATTCTTGAAATGGCTCTATCTTCATAAGGTTTATCATATAATTAGCTGATCAAGACTGTACTCTTGTCTGTAACCAAATCCATGGGCGGAAGAAAATATCACTAGCCCAAGGAAGAACAATTGTCTGTAGAAGGACTGGAGGAGGAACATATCATCATGTTTGTCTGTCAATCACCCATCTTTAACTCTTCTTTGATTGGATCTCCAATTTTTTTCTTTTCTCTCTTAGGATGACAAAGATACAACTTATTCAACTGAGGAAAAAAATTGATCGTACAACTACAGGAGAACTTGTGGCTTGATCACTTATTTCAACGGTTCTTCATGATATCAGACTTTTTGTCTTGAAATACAGTGTGAAAGGGGGCGGCCAAGCTTCACAAGGGGGGGCTGCTTTTAGTAAAATCTTATTCCTTTTGAAGATTGAATTATATCTCATTGACTATCCACTTGATATGAATTTTCTTTTGATTATCATATTTTTCTTTGGACGCATGTGGTATGATTATGTCCTATACTGCTTCCTGCATCTTTTGCAAGAGCCCCTCATATATGAAGGTGCTGACATGTGATACCTGGTATTCCTCAAAACAAAATTCACACACATGGCCAGATGTGAGAAAGCTGGCAGCTGTTGGATGGTTGTTAGCTTACGTATTGTTACGTTTACAAGGCGCCGTTGGAGATGCTCTTAGACACAAATTAATCAAACCAATTCAAGTTGGCAATGTATCAATTATATCAAACCATTTATGTAAATCTAATCAAGATGTGAAGTTGATGAATTCAAATTGGAGACTCATATAAGGTATATGAGTGAATAGTTAGACAGAAGGGTCAATGTGAAGAGTCAGGTTAGTGCCCTGGATGGTGTAAAACATTTCAATGTCCGTTATGAGTGCTCAAAATGTAAATTAATTTTTACCTCTTCACCCACACACAATTTTTCAATTACAAGGGATCAGAAAAACATATAAATTGATAAATCTGAGACTGTAGGGGTGATTCAAAACTAGTTTCCCTAGATTTTCTAATGACATAAGGAAAGACATGACATGAGGGAGATATCACTAAATTGTGACTTGAAAAGTGCAGGGTTTCTATATTTGCGGACATTTAACATAAAAAATACACAGGGAACTCAATGTATCAATTCCCACTCAAATGAACAGCATTCATCAATTTTGATACCTTGAAAAACCCTCCTGAGTTTAACAAATCACCTTCAGAAAGTTATTCAATGCAAATGTATCATCAGATATGAGATGGTCATGTAGTACATCAAATCAGATAGATGTGATTGGTGGTTCAACTTCAAGGCAAACAATGTCTCATTGTCATCAATGATGAGGTAGCATCATTGCATATTGGGTGACAGTTAAAGGAAGAGAGAAATGAGATGGTAATAATATCAGCCCTGAGCCCTGATGCCAGGAGCCTAGGTTCAAGAGTAACATGGATGTACATTGATTATTTATCTTGGAAGACCATCCTTGAGTACTGGTGGTTCAAGTTGTATTGCTGAAGACCCAATGTATGGCTGTTAACATCGAGGCCCCAAAATTATTTAGTTGCAAAAATATCAAATCTGCTGCCAAAATCACTATGGAAGGAAGAGGGATGTTTACAGCCTCACCTATGTGTAATAGAACTTTATAAAACTGCTTTGGAATGCTGTTATCAAGATCTATAGGCTTCACCTGGGTGTATCACGTGAACACTGCACAGCCATTTCTGTACCTCACCTTTCAGTGAAGATTCTGGCCAACAGATTTACTCCTTACAAATAATATTCCAGAGATGAATTAGAGGCAAGACATAAACTCAACATCCATACTATGCACGTTGGAAATCAATGACAATATGTCAGAAATGAGTGTACATTGGACACATAAAACTCAAATCTATAGGAATATCTCTGTAGGGTAACAAGTATTGAGGGAAGTCAAACTAATAACAAAATTGGAGGTTAGTTTGGTGAAGTGTGTAGGAAAACTTTGAGATTTGAAAGAAACAGCAATATTGAAGTGGCACAACAAGACAACAACCCCAACACATAGAAAATCCCAGTGCATGTGATACACATTTTCTTATAGGAAATATTCCTTACGGGAAATATGGTAGAGTTCACCATGTGATATAGTAACATCCAAACTGACTGGAATCAACCTTGTGTTGTCAATTGGAGTGAATTCTCTATACTTCCAATCAGGTCCTGTTGTTTCTGTAATTTCAACTTTGGAACAGACTTGGAGCCATCCCATCTATCCCACCCCTTCCAAAGTAACCAGAATATATTTGAGGCAACTTCCTTTCCTCTTCCAGAGCATAGCTTCATCAAGTAGGCCAATAGGACACCAGATACATCATCATACAGATCAAGAGTTTTGGCACATTTAAATTTTATCTGACTTGCCCTTTCTAATGCATCTTCTCCCCAGTCTTCAAGGAGTTCCATCAAATACTGGAAGCCATTGATCACTGCAGGATTTTTCTTGCTATATTCAGTTTCAATGGGACAAAGAATCTGAATCATGCCCAAGAAACCAGGGAAAATATCAACCAGTACCCTTTTCATCAATGAATCAAAATCCCCTTGCCAATGTTGAGGCTGCTGGGAAATTTTCTGTTTCATCTGCTCAAAATGAGCTGTAACAAATTCAAGTGAAAGCCCTTCCTTTGACTGAGCACTTAAAATGTTTTTTCCTACTTCTTTACTCAGTGAAACCACTCTTTTACAGTGATTGCTTTTCATAACAGTATTTTCCCTGCATAATTCTTGCTTTGAAGGCCTATTTCTGTTGATTATTTCTGCTCTTTTTTGTGAAATTGAGCTTCCTAACTGCAAGATGGTAGAGATATCTGAAGGCTCTACCTCCCACTTTGTGAATACGTCTGATTTTGCTAGTTGATAGTGAATCTTTGTAATAAAATCTTGAAGATTTTGAACTTTCATTTTATTTCCATATTCAGAAACTTGGTACCAGCTATTGAAAACACTCCAAACAATACACATTGATACTCTTGATTTAGGGGCCATCTTCATTAAATAAATCAAAATTTGTGAAGGTGTATATATCTCCCAACATCTTGATGTGTCAATTTCTTCAATCTGTAGTTCTTTCCAGCCTACTTGTGTCCAACTTCCCAGGAATTTTAAAATGAAATTCCATCCATCATGAGTTAATTGAACAAGGTCATCTGGCCTGCTTGCATGAATCATATGGAGACTTGCTAAAAACTGCATAGTTAGATATCTGTATGCTCTGTAAATAGTCAAAGATATATCAATTGATTCCTTGGGGAATTCAGGTACATATGACAGTCTATTTTGCATGGTTTTTTGGAGTTCATGAAACCAAGGATGCATAACTTCTCCTTTGAAATGCAGACCTGCATTGATGGCTATTTGAAACCCCTGAATCTTCAAGTGAGTCACAATATGTTGAATATCTGGAATTACATGCCACCTCTCTCCTATCTTCTGGACTTTTTTGTTGGGAAGAAGTGCTGTCTTGCCATTGTTAATGAAGGTATATTTCTGGTATCTACTACCTTTCTTTCCATCTTTTTGCTGCACATTTGTTGTATCACTTGATGATGAAGCACTCAATATTTTCAATCCTTCTATCCCAGATGTGGCGGGTGTGTTGTCATCTTTACAGACTATTCCACTGATACATGGTTTCTTTGGAGTTTTCTGTTTGCCTGTATTGAATAAATCCAAGGGGAAATTTGAAGCAAAATGATTCCAGTTTCCATCTGAATGCATTCTGATTCCTTGATTGGGGTTAACATCTTCAATTTGATCAATTGATTTTCGATGCTTATGAGACTGTTTATATGATTCAGTGGGATGGACTATGGAAGCTTTTTTCAATTCACCTGAGGATATCCTCTTCTTCCCCTTAAATGCTTCAGTTTGTAGTGGATGATCAGAAGTCTCCTGTGTGTCTGCTTTGTTTTGTCTTCCAAGACTCAGTGTTGCAGGCCAGTGAGGATCTCCAGATGCTATTTCCTGTTGGTGAGCCGTAATAGGACAACGAGGACCAATATAGATGTTGTTGGATGAGTTGACCTCCTCAATGGAAAGAGGAGTCCGCAATTCCCTGCAATTATCAGTTGATACACAAGTTATATGGCTGAATAAAGCCATCAATAGTGCTGCAATAAGATGTTGATTTGGTATCATGTTGAGTAGATGAAGGATGCGCAAACAGATGAAGTCCACTCTTCCAAAAGGGAGAACAGTTCAGTCTCAGAGCATTCAAAATTTTATGTTGAGCTTTGCAAATTGCAGATAACACAAGTTTCACAGGCATCATTTATATCTTACATGTCTGGAGACTTATCATACCTAGATCATGGATCCACATCATTGCCAATATACTGACAATACAAGCTTCAGGAAAGACAATGGAGTATGGTCCAAAAAAAAAACTGACTCCTCAAACCATGGAAGCTAAACAGAAATGTCTCATCATCTTGCCATGTGGAGATGGATCTTTGGCTTTCAGAGTTGCCGAAGGGCAATCAGATGAATCCAAGCTGTTTGTGAGTATGATTTATGACTTTGAGAATCAGTGAAGGTAGAGGCTAAGTAGGGCTATCCAGCTTACACTACATAGAAGCATCTACACAACTGTAGTAGGGCATATTTCCCCATGATTCCAAATTTTGTAGGGCAAGCTTGTCATTCCCTGGCCTGCTTGAGTCCCTCAAGTTGAGGATGATCAGACCCAGGGCAGAAGTCATTCTTTGATGCAATGTGCTTGTAGACTTCAAAAACCCTCTTATTAACAAGTCTTTTGACCAAATGCTTTCTCTGTGGTTCATTTTGTGTTTGGTCCTTTTGTGCTTGCTTGTATCATTTCAGTTTGCCATCCAGTCATTGACTTTACTTCATCTACACTCTGATTCCGTTAACCTTTGTTCTCAGATGTATTCATTGACGCTGCTGTGTTAACTGTCCGGTCTCATCACACATTCAAAACATCTGTGTAGGATCTTTCAGAGCCTTTTGTTGACATTGTGAACAATGATCCTTTTGCAGAGTAAGCACAGCATGTCCAGCTTCATGAAATGGGACCCAATAATTATGATACATTTTACAAGTGGATGAGATTTCTGGGTGAGTAGCAAGTCCAGGAAAAGAGATGAAGCAGGAGATAATGAACTTACAAGGGTGGTGCAAGCCCCTCACAAGTGTGTTTGCCGGCCCTCGAAGAGGGGCTTAGGACAGACTTGAGTTTTTTGGCTAAACGGCTGCTGTTCTCCAAAGATCTCTTGAAAGCTGTGTAAAAACTGGGTCTTACGTCCTTTTGTAATGGTCTAAGATTGCCGAGCCTTTAGTTATCATCAACCCTCCACTCTTGTGAGCCATCATTCTCCTTTGTTTTCCTCGACTCTTTGCAGCCATCAAACCCAAATTTACCTTCCACTAGAGCTTATGTGGGCTTGCCCGCCTCTAAATTTAATAAGTAGTGTTGATCCTTATGGTCTAAATGGCTGGAGGTTGAGTCAGGATCAGGAAAACAAAGACATGAAATAGGATAAATGATTGAGATACATGCTCCAAGCTCAACTAATCCAATACCCGAACCGCATCGCCATATATAGCGGTTGCGGAGCGATATCGCAGCGGTTTTCGCGTGCACTATGGGCTCCGAAACACATAGCGCAGCCAGCGCACCGCACTCCACGGCTGAGTTTTCTCATAGCGGAGAAATCGCTGCGCAACCCGGCCCAGGAGGTGTCACTCCGCTATATAGCGGAGCAAAATGAAATGGTACAAAGGTATGAACCGATCAGAACCGATCACAGTGGATCTCTTCAAACTGAACCGATTTTGATTTTAAAACAAATCTTAAACGGAAAACCAATCAAAACTTATCAATTTCAATCAATCTTACTTCAACAAGATAATCATCAACAGCCAATCACATTACTTCAATTCGTAGTCATACTTCAAATAACTTCAAATCTAATCATACTCTCAGAATTCATATTCAAAATAGTTTAGGTTCTACTTCTGACTTCGTATTTTCAATTGATTCAACAACAACCATCATCATCATCAAAACTGAATGATCAAGATGAAGTGATGTGTCATCTTGAAGTTCCTAATCTGAATCGATTATTTATCAATTCAAATATAAACCGTTCAGTATGTCAGCTTAATACTTTTTTGTATCTAATCTTGATGTGCCAAAATGACTACAACTTGGAGTGAAGCTATACACTGAAAGTGTGTTTCATTATATAGCGCTATAGCGCGCTATAAAGCGCACATATAGCGGCAAGGACCGCTTCGACATGGCAAGAACTTTTTTTTTGACTAAATAGCGCAGCCAGAGCGCTCGGCTTCATAGCGCAGGCTGCGCACCACTATGGAAAATGGCCAAATTCCATAGCGTTGCGTAGCGGTTCGGGTGTTGACTAATCACATTATTTTGTATCAAGCCAAAAACCATGTAGCAACTATCAAAGGTTCTATACAATCCAAATGGATAAAATGGTTCACATCAACCATATTTTTATCGAAGCAAAAGCTCCACAAGCACAGACACGGATGGTTTACAACTCCACTAAAAAGAAACCCAATGAATGATGAAAAGTCAAATGAATCCTCATTTGAATCACTCAAAGGTACTCAAAAACATTATAAGAATTAAAGGGAAAAAACTTCAACTTTATAACCCATACCATCTTCTAAAAAAATAAAATCACAGACAAACAATTGGTATAACACACGTCTGTTAAGGAAGAGTATAAAGACAAATAAGATTCTTTTGTAAGATTGAAACTTGAATGAGCAACAAGTCTGAATACATTATCTGAAGCTTCCCCTTCTAAACTAAATTCTGAAAGAAATTCTCTAAAGAATTCAGAATGACATTCTTAATGATTGCATTTCAATTCAATTCAATTTTCTATTTGTTTTCTTCCTTATCATTGAGCAAAGAACCAAATCCTCATAATTGCAAACCAGAAAACAGAGGAGAAATTAACTTTTCTTTTTATCCTTTTATTTTTACAAAGAGTGACAAACCAGGAGGATTGCTTGAATAAATAATTTGATGTTCACCAAAAGCTTCAAGGATTGGTACCAGATAAATATTCATCTCTTATTTTCTTTCCAAGCTGAATGGCTGTCTTCTTTACCTTCATTAAATGATGATCAATGTCATCATCTTTCATATCATTTGCTGCCTTGGTAGAATTTTGACTGCAAGAGTATAACCTGATGCATGATAAGGTCTCCAACAACTGTCATAATAAGTTGAGCCTCTATTGGCTAATTCTAAATCAATTGGAGGTGGTAAACCCGATAAGTTTATACTTAAATTCAAGAATGATGAAATTGAGAAGAGAAGGGATAGAATTGATGGACATGAAGATGAACTTGGTCAAACTGAATGAGAGATGAGCATGTGTGGTTTGACTATTAAACAAATTTGAAAAAAATCATTCAGCAATTTGATTGATTGAGAAAGACATTCAAGACTGTGATAAATTACTTACCCATTTCACAAATCGAAAACTTAACTTCATGACCAACCTCTTGCTCATTTCAAACAGCTGAAACACGTTATAAAATTTCGTCTGAAACACTTGGAGATGATCTATCTAAATTCCCTTTAACTGAGAATTCAACACTCAAAGCTCTTGCACATAATCTTTTTAAAGAATCAATTCATTTTGGATTAGTCAAAAAAGTTCAAGCTGAATGACTTGTTGATTAAATTGAATGTGCACATCCTCATAATCTTTGGGTTTGGACTTGATTTTAACAGATTGAAGTTCATTTGAATATTCAATTAATACTTCAGGTCCTTTGCTCAATGGTGCCCGACTAAATCAAACGATTTCCCTGGATCAAAAAGAAAAATTCAGATGGTTTCTTTCATCTCGGTCTTCATAACAAAGGTTTTCAATTAAAACTTGCATTTTCTGATCTTGATCTAAAGCTAAAGTTTGATTACAAACAAAGCTAGACCAAAGAAAAGGTGAAAGATATCGAGAATTCCTGAAATTCAAAGTAGAAGTAGATTATGATAGAGTAACGATTGATTCAATTAAGTTAAAATCGAAATCTGAATTTGAAAATCTGAATTTGAATGTGTTGATAGAGTTGAAGTTGATGAAGATAAAGAAGATAAAGTTGAAGTTTGATCTGATAAGTTATTTATGATTGGATCTCCATTGAATTCAGTTAAAAAAGTGTGTACATATCGATTTTGATTCAAATGACGAAAGGATTGAATTCTGATGGATAAAATTGTTGTTTTACACAGCGTTTATTACTTTTGCTAAAAAGCTTGGTCCAAAAGAGAAAAAATAAAACAGAATTAGACCCAGAATTCCACCGCAGCAGTCACAACGCAGCAGAGAGAAAAAAGTTTTAGGGTGCTCAGACAACCACGCCTCGCCAGATCCCACTGGCACTACCCCTTGTGCTGCTCACAAACCGATTGCTTTGCCTGCACTCCCTCTCCCTCTGTCATCTTCACCACCCACTGCACACGATCCAGACAAACCAAGCAATGGATTCCTCAAGATTTCTCAACTCAGAAAGGACTTTCCAAGGCTACGATACTACATCTTATAACAATGCTAAGAGATGTAGGCCCTCGATGACCAAGAAACAAAACGCTGCTCGACAAGGAAAGAAGTCATCTGTTGTGTGAAACTCTACAGTGTTCCTCCTATGTTGATAACGAGCATTTGTTAAAAAATTAAACAAAGACATGATGTTGAAGCTTTAGTACCTTACATATCTTCAACCTGTCCAGTACCAAGCCGAATAACAAAAGTCTGAGATTGAATACCTTATGAAAGCTATATCCAAAATGCGAGTGAATTTTCAAGGTAACTGAGGTTGACAGGATCATCGATGGATTATGAACGATATCAAGACCGATCCCTTTGAATCTGCTATGAGACAATCATATGATTGCGAGTTGAGAACAATCTCATATCTCTTATGAGGTCAATAAAACTAAGAAATCATGGGGTTTGAATAAGTCATCCAAATCCATTCAATTTGTCTATGGTCCTATGAACGAGCTGAAAAATCATCTCAGTTCTCTCAAAGACATTCAAAATCCAAAGATCGACTGGTTTTGCTCAGTCAAAACCAATTGACCTTCTTTGTTCCTGTGGAAGAGATTGTGAACAATCTCAGCTCTCTGATGTAATCTAGAGACTGATTTTGTTGAGAAAATCCAAGTCAATCGATTTGCTTGTGATCCTATGAAGAAGATTGAAACGATCTCAATTTTCACATCAATCTTATCTATAATTTCTTGATTCCAATTCCTATACAATGACAAGCATCTCTGAAAACAATTCATCTATTATAGAAAATCTAGCTCGTTAATTCAGCTGTAAAGATCTTATGAGCTGCCTTCCGGATCCGTTCAACTGGATTTGACCTAGATGATGAAACTTGTGATCTTCAAACATCAAACTTCAACACATACTGCAAACTCAATAGCGTTCAACTCGGGACAGTGTGGTGGTAGGTATTGAAGAAGGATACCTAGAGACAATATTAGAGATCATCAGTGAGTTGAATGAAATGAACTGAAAAGAGAAATGGGAGGAATTGAAGCAGTAGAGTGTATCTTGTTCCTTACATTAGTGAGCAAAACGAAGTCATCGACAGGGATTTGAGGGATATGAAAAATTGTTGGTGGCAGTGGGGTAATCAAAAGGATGGAACAGATGGGAGCTTGAGCGCACCCTAAAACTTTTTTCTCTCTGCTGCGTTGTAACTGCTGCGGTGAAATTTGTTTTTATTTTTTCTCGATCGGGCCAAGCTTTTTAGCAAAAGTAATACAAGATAGTAAGCTTAACATAAGCCCCTCATCCGACGTGGCCACGTCCGCTCTCAAAGAGGAAGATAGGTTGTAATTGGTTATGTGTACGTCATAGATGTGATGTTAGTCGAGGAATAGTTCAAGAACGATACGCAAAGATTGTACAAAGCAGGTGGTTAGCCTTACATATTGGAATTAGAGGAGGGGGCAAAAAGTAATAACTGGTCCTTGGTGAGTGGGTTGGTCAACAATGTACAAAGATAAGATCATCAAGAAGAGTATGGAGGAGACATTGAGGATAATGAAGACTATCCATTGTAGGAAAGCATTGAATAAGCTTATGACTGTAAAAGCTATAGAATGTCCAAATACGGAATAGGTGTCAAGCATGTTAAGCTTATCAAAGTCCCCCCTGCCTGCGCACCTCGCGGGCAAGTCATGATTTCGAAAGATTTCTGACGGCCTAAACTGAGGTGTGTCGTAGGAATAAGTGTAAATTTGTAAGGCCCCACCTTCAAGTGAAATCTCAGCTTTATGTTCCTTATTTTAAGGCATAAATGCTGAGATTTTGCTTGAAGGGGGGGATTTATGAATTTACATTTATTTAATAACTTCGCCGACTTTTCTTCCCATCATATGCTAGCAGCATCTTCCTGGTCTAGTCTTATCGTTTCGGTGAAGCACGTTGGTCGTGATAATTCAAGCCATTTCCTCTCTTCCCATGCCAAAGGAGAGCATTAGAGTAAGAATAGTTATGATGGCGAGATCTTGTGTGAACCTCGGTCACGCAGCGTCGCACGGTCGCGCCCTTACGAAGCCATTTTGAAACCACTCGTCAGCTCTGAAGGAATATCGGCTCCCAAAGGACCAGTTGATTACTGTGCTCTCAAACTGTTCATGCAGCTGATTAGAGTTGACTTGGAAGACGAATCAGCCCACACAGCCCAGCAGCATTTGGCTGTGTTCTGTACCTGATCCACCACATACTCATCTCAGCAATCTACCCTGCAGCTGTTCCGCGCACCAGGCCGCCCTGGCCCCTACTCGCATATAGTAAGTTTTAGCAGTCAACCAGCCAACCGATTCCAGATATCGGCAGGCAATTTGATCTACAAAACCCAACCTTCATTTTCATTTTGATCTCCATTTCTCACTCCTTTCATCCATTTTTCACTTTAATTAATCAAATAATCTTTTATTTATTATTTATTCATACCCTCAATTTACATCCAGATATCATCATACCACTGGCATCACTACCATCACTGGTCATACCACTTATCATTAAGATTTAGAAGCCAATTTAGAATTTTATCAATTTTATAAACTTCACTCATATCATCTCAAGACATACTCAAAACCTATTCAAATTTTCAAGATGACCGCTCGGGTATGCAACGCAGTTAACACCCTCGCCGTTGATGAGTCTTCATTCTTCTCCAGCTCGAAAACTGTCAACTGGGGTAAGCTCATTTCACTCTTCATATCAACAATGTCCATCCTGATCAAAATGCGCCCTTTTCATCTCTAGATTATCATCGAATTGGCTGGGTAGTGGCTGGATCAATGGCTATCCTCGTATGTCATCTTCATTCAAAACCCGCAATCACTTCTCAAACTCACGCGTTTCACATTGCATCGATATTCTTCTCAGACTCTAGTCATTTCCTCCTTCAGCATCTTTATGCACTGTCGGTCATATCATGCACCACTTCAGCAACGTCAGATAATCGTTAGTCAAACCTCTTCCTCCATTTGCTTTACCCTGATCATCAATTGACGTTTCTTTTCCGTTCACAGCGTATCCTACTCATGCCACCTGTATATGGTTGGTCTTTTTCCTGACCAGCCAGCTGCATATCATCATTCCTTCACTTCAAACGATTGAAATTGACGCATACATCTTCTCAAACTCACTTCCACAGCGATCATCTCGTTTTTCAGTTATCGATTTTTTAGGGCATACACATACTATTCGTTGATCGAGACTGTAAATCCACACTTCCTCTCTATCCTCTACACATACCCTTCTTTCTTCACTGGCCATAGAAACTGATGACTTTAAATATCCATGTACCTTTACAAATAGGTCTATGAGGCCTTCGCAATCTGCGCCTTCATGTTTCTCTTGGTACAATACATTGGTCATTCACCCCCTCTTCAACGTCAAATCCTAGCCGAGCAGCCAAAGCGCTCAATCCCTTTTCCATTTTGTTGTTGGAGGTATCGGCCCTCAAAGGTATATATGTGTTCCCACCTTTTTCGTTGGCTCGATCTTAAACTGATCGATCCTTTTGATCTCAACTAGCCATATTTTTTGCATACTACCAAGTGGCTGGTCTTACAGTACTGTATCTTTCGGCCGTTGATCACCATCGTCGCTATCATTTGTGAAGCCCATCACGTGTTGTGCCCGCAACAATACAGTGTTTTCTTTGCTCAAGCTTACTTGGAAGCGTACGTGACATCTTGTGCAATTCACAAAAGGGAAACAAAGGCCTCATTTTTCACTCCCCTTGCACCTTCAGTTTTGATTTCGTCGTATTCTCAATTGCATTATATGGTCTTGTGAGTCTAGTTATCAAGCTCATCCTGCTTATACTGCAAACAGCAACTGATCAGACCTTCTAACACTCGTCGCTGGAAACATTCATGTTTAAAAGATTGTTTTTTACACAGTGACGAAAGATCATTTGAAAGGAAGATCTCCGTTGGCCAAGTTTCTGACTATCAAAGGTAAGCGTTTCCTCTTTGTATTTCTCCTTTCACCATGTCATTCAAGGACGCAACATTCTCATGCTCGCTTCGCCATTTTCTCGCCTAGGAATTGTGTTCTTTACCTTTTATCAGGTCAGTTGGTAGATATTCAGCCTAACTATCCTTCTTACAAATCTACACGCCTGTCCAACATATTCTGACATGATTTTATCCTTTGGCTAACCTTTTGTGGTTCATAGGGATTTGTTTTTTCGATCTTAGAGAAGCATGGGGTCATTCGCGGGTCGCAATACTGGGTACGTCTTATTCGTTCCCGAAAATCATCTATCTGCAACCCGAAGACTTTGGATTTCAGCCTGAAATTGACGTTGATTTTCCTCCTGTCTTTCTAGACTGCCACCAACGTTAGCGAAGGCTTACAGGCGTTGTGTACCACGGTTGAGATGGTCGCCTTTTCGTGAGTTTCTCTCTTGCTTATGCGTCGGTCATGTGGCCATGCGGCCTTTCTTCATCCATCCATCTTTCTGATATTTCAATCATCTACCAATTTGGCTATATGATGTTTAACAGTATCATCATGATATTCTCGTTTTCGTGGAAACCATATACTCAGATGAATCCTACGAAGCGAACTGGCGTTTTCAGGTCGTTACTCCACTCACAGAATTACAGTACGTTAATTTTTTGCCTGATGTCTCACAGATCCATACAACATTTTAGTTTTCAAAAAATTGACCTTTGACACCTCAATGTTTGTAGGTGACTTCTGCATTGAGCTCTACTCGTCAATGAGTAAGTTCGATTTCTGTCATATGCCACTGCCCATTCATGTATGAGCAAGTGCCGCATAAAACTAACAGCTTCCTTCCGTCGCAACAGAATTCTTTTGGGATTATGCTCAGAGAAAGCCATATACAACCTCCAAGGCTCAAGGATTAGGCTCTGATGCAGATTCAGTGAATCATCGACGTCCACTCACTGGTCTTGATTTCAATCAAGCATATGACTTCGAGCCATCTAATGAATCACCACCTCAACAAGGATACAAGATGGATAAGGTGAACGAAGCGGAACCTAAAACAAGTCAAGTTTAAACGAAACGGAAATGTCGATCAACCGATCATCGTTTTTTTCCCGATCGATTCAACCATTGTTTTCTCTTTAACCTATCTCTTCGTTTTTCAAAATTGTATTCTGATTTTCGTCGTCGTATTTCTGAACTTTAATGATTATTGTGTTGTGATTGTTGTTATTTCTATTGAGCTTAAATGGATTAGTATGAAGATGAATGTTCTGATTAAGATTTGTTCTGAAAATAATCAGATCAATCACTAAGATGTCTGTTCATCATATAGGATCAATTTTTTCCTAATTGTTTTATTTATTTTATTTTATGACTCTTGTATCATCCATCAGAAAAGCAATTTTGGACATTTTACAAATGATCAGGTATACAGACAAGAAAACGTCATGCGTGTTGAAGTTTACATTCAACTGGCTCAAAGCTCAAGGAAGCATGCGGAGAAGAGCCCTTTTATCGTCTTTTGTTTCTCTTTCCAAGATCTTTGATTTACATACC